AATGAGAAACTATGACTCTTAGCAATGCTGTTGTCTAAGTGTTAGTGCATCTCCTCTGCAAATTCACAGGTTGAAATTCTACAGCCAAGGTGGAAGTGGAGCCCTGGGGAGGCAACTAACCAGGTTGTGAAGACAGAGCCATGCTAAATGGGACAAGTGTCCTCATAAAAGAGGCCTATGAGAGCTTCCTTTCTACTCCCACTGTCTGAAGATATAGTGACAAGACAAGTGTCTACGAACCAGGAAGCAGGCCTCACCACCACCAAGTCTGCTGTCACCTTCACCTTGGACTTCCAAGTCTCCAGAACCCTGAGAAATCAATTTTTGTTGGTATTTAGCTACCTAGTCTGTGGCATTTTGTTATAACAATTGAGTTGACTAAGACATTGCTGTTGCCATAAAAATCCTGCCATAAAAGTAAATTCCATATTACCACAACAAATGGGACATTTATGTAATGCTTTAAAGTTCCTCTGTGAGATTTCTCCCGTGAGAAATTGTTCAAACATCGTACCAGCTTGGGATTTAATGTTATCACTAAAGAACAGGGAGGAACCAGCCTATTAAATCTCAAATGAGTTATGGAGTAGATGTCTGTGGAATTCAAATCTGCCCCAGGAGAGGTTAAAAAAAATGGTATAATCTAATCCTTATAATTGCCCAAAAGGTGACAAAACTCTCCCAAAATTGAGTTTTAGATCTGCTGGGATATACAAAACCCGCTATGGCTGGGAAAAGAAAAACAAAAGCTGAAGATATTTTTAACCAGAGAAAAGTAAACTCACAGCTATAAAGTTCTTTTTAAAAATTCTTTACATTCTGTCACTTAAGCTCTACATCACCACTTAGTCTGGCTAAATATAAAATTCCAACGTAAAATCTATATGATGACAAAGAAATCATCTCTTGCCTATCTCCCAAGTTATCAGTCTCAGTCATCTTCAGCACCTAGAGGCAACTTCCGAAGTTCCTGTGACTTTGGAAGTTCGGGACTCTTAAAAACGTTCTCAACGACTGGTTTAATTGAGGGCCTTAAATACTGTTTTGGCGCCCCCTAGTGTGGAACTCGATTTCAACACCTGCACTTACTGAAAGTCCCTTTAATTTTTACAATAAAAAATGATGTCTAAAATAATTTTTACCAAAGAAAAAACGACTAAGTACCACTTAAAGTTCACATTTTTCTGAAGTCATAATAAAATTTTAATGTAATTTCTAGAAGCACAAGACAGTAGAAAATCATTGAGAATTACTATGGTTAAAAACTCAAGAATGTATTCAAGGTACTCATAACCGATGCTTTACATAATGCTTTAATTCCACTCCAGCAGTTAGTCCTACGAACATATTTGGGCCCGTGCAAAATAACACCAAGTATAAAGTTGGTCACTGCGGCCAGATTGTTCACTGAGGCGTTACAAGCAGCATAAATGCCAGGCATTAAAGGGTGGTGATTTCGAGAATGATACACAGTAGAGTATTGTGTTCCTGTAAAACAAGACAAAAAAGGAAGAAAGATGTAAAGGACTCATATAGGATGATGTCCATTATGTATCAAAGAATATAAAACAGAATCAAACAATATTAAAACCTAAGGTAGAGAACTATGGTATTTTGCTACCATTTGAACTTCAGAAAGGGATAACAATCGAGTGATAAGAATCATATATATTTGATAATAATTATATGTATTTGTATTTTCTCATACATCCATAAATGCAATTTCTTGGAGAATACACAGGAAACTAATATCATGTGGTTACTTATTGTCAATGGGGAGGAAAGCAGGTAGATGTTGGATAATGAATTCCTTGGCACTGTTCTTTATTTTTGAGTTTTGCTTTGATTATTCAAAATATTAAACAACTTTTTAAAAATGTAAAGCCTTTCACAAAAGTTCAAGAAGGACAAGAAAAGCTTTGCTTTAAAAAGTAGATTAGACAAAGCGTAATTTATGGGGAAGTTCAGGCTGCAGTTAGCAGACGCTGCCTGTGAAGAGTAATAGTAACTGCATTTATGACAGGGATCTCATCCTCAGGTGTTGAGCCCCAGGGCAGCGTACAGATGGCAACAAATGGCTCAGAATCTCTCACTGGTACAGGTTGAATTCGTCACAAATTTACCAAATCTAGAATTCCAGATAAAGTGTTTCAGTCTTCACTTGAAGATCATGAAAATCCAAAGCACCCTGATAAGCTGCATGTTGCTACCAGAATAAAAAGTACGAAAGATGTTTATTCTGGGAAAAAGATACACTAGAGATGCCTGGATTAGAAAAAGCACCTATTCCTCAAATTCAGAACAATATCCCTCCAGTGAATGCAAAACTGAAAGCAGTTAAATATTTGATAAGAATCAAGCCCCCAAGCAGGGTATGGTAGTGCCTGCTGGTAATTCCAGCACTCAGGAGGCTGAGGCAGAAGAATTACAGGCAGTTCGGGCCAGCTTGAGCTACACAGTGAGTTCAAGACCAGCCTAAACTACATAGTGACACCCTATCTTAAAAAATAACAACGAAAGAATCAAGTCCCTGAAGCTGACACAGAAACTTTCAAGAGAAGAGAGCACGTCTCATTCCATGTGTCAAAAGCACAGGGCAGTTGGTAGTGCAGTGGCCTCCCTGTGGAGTAGGAGAGCAAGTCCTGATGCCACAGAGCTGCAAAGTAAAAAATGCAAATTTTAAACTTCAAGTTGTTGAGAAAATGTCATGCATGTTTAAAATACTTGATGACACTGTGTATCAAGCAGAAAGAATTCTCATTCTGCAGGTGGGAGACTTGGTTGGAGTAATCACTCGGAAGAGCAATCCGGCAACATCTAGCAAAGCTTGAAGACACTCAGCTCTGTGTCTCAACAATTTATTCGTATGTATTTTTCACATATATGAAAAATACACTGAGCAGTATCTGTTGCATTGTTTCTATAGCAAAAATATGGAAATAAACAGCCACTATTCAGAGAGGGGATGTGTTATTGACATAGGACATAGGGCGTGGCAAAGCTGGCTGAAGAGATGAGCCAAACCTGTCAATTACAAGATCCCAGGACTCCAGATGTAGAACTTATCAGGGCTCCCACAAGATGTCGGCAAGGACGCAGACTCCCTAGGAGCCCCTATCCTGACTCCTCATGGAATCCCACTCTGTGTCTTCTAGACCAGGCTGTACTTTTATTTTTGCTCTTTTTCTCTTGTCCTCTTTTGTTTGGGCCAAATTCTCTCTGGAGAGCCATTTTTCTTACTCCTTCACCCCTCGCTTTTCAAATAAACTTTTGGCACCATTTTTGATTTGTCTTGTTCGATTCTTTTTTCGAGGCAAGGACCTGGAATACGTTTAATTGGTGAGCCATTTCTAAAGGAACTACCCGATAACATTATGGGATATTAATGCAGTAATAAAGATGAACTAAAGTGAAATGTATCAGCTAAAATTAGTACAGTGACTACGGGAAAAGCAACTTTGCTAACAATATACCCAAAGGGTTACTTACACAGTTTTAACCATGCATGACAATAACATCTATGGTTTATGGATACACAAATGTTCAACAGTCCAAGAACCAGGTCAGGAATGATTCAATTCAGAAGTACCCTAAAGTGGCAAGATTAGAGAACAGACAAAACTTCAAGCTTATTTGTATTTTTTTTTTTTTACTCGTTTAATAACAAAACGACAAAGTCTGAAACCACAACTACAGCAGAAGAGCAAGGTGTGGTACATCTAGATGTCGAAGGCACAAGTACACCTTGCAATGCTCTCTCCAGGTCGGGAATGAAACATTTATTATGACAAAGTTTAAGCAGTTTCTCTCTCTCCCAGTTTCTTCTACGGCTGTAATCGTTCTCTTTGCATTCATTAGATATTGAGAATTTAATCTCCTCTGGGGTATACAGAAGTCATTACAGGAGATCATAGAAGTAAAGGATCTTTTTCTCAAGTGGTTTCTGCTCTCCTGAGGAGGCGCTTGCACCAACGAGAAGGATGAGTCAGATACAAGGGCGTCGGGAGGAAGCAATGCCCAGTGCGAGGGGAGGGCCCTGGTCTGGAGCTGCCTCAGCCCCACGGGAGGAAATGCTTGGGCTGTGGTCACCTTTGCCGAGGGAACAAAGGCCTTCCAAGCACAGTGCAGAGGGGCCTGGGATGCGCAGCCGGGGATGTGGATGATGTGGGCCGGGCCGCCCAGGTGCGGCGGGGGCCTGGAGCGAGCATGGCCACCACACGCAGACCAGGACGGAACTCCTGCTGCACCCTGGACGCTGAGCAGAAGACCGCGGCCCTGCTGAGTTGAAATAACTTTTTCACCCTACACAGCGCGCAAGAGACCGAGTTGGGACCAGACCTCGGGCTGGCTGGCTTCAGGGTGACCCGCCCTTGACAGTAAAGGAACGACCTGCCCACACTACGAGTGCATTTTCATGGGTGCTCGTAGCCCTGTCCGACCGGGCATTTCCCATTCCCTGTCTGCTCCAAGCCGCCTCCTCCTTTAGGCAGCTCAAGTTCTCTTTAAAACGCAAGGGGCAGCGGGATGTGTTGGGCACACCTGTAATCCCAGCACTCGGGGAGGCTGAGGCAGGAGGATCAAGAGTTAAAGCCCATTCTGGGCAATTTGGCAACTGAGCGAGATTCTGTCCCCAAATACAAAGCCTGAGGATGTAGCTCAGTGCGAAGGTCCTGGGTCCTAGGAAGAAGGAAGGAAGGGAGGGAGGCAGGGAGGGAGGGAGGAAGAAAGAAAGAAAAAACGGAGAGAGAAAGAGGGGGTAAGGTAGGGAACCAAAAACGCACTAGGGGTCCCTGTGGCCCGCGAGCGCGAACTACCGAGACTACAAGCCCCAGAATGCAAGGCTTGTGTTAGACTAGAGCCACTGAGTGGACAGTAATGCCACGCTTTCCGATGGGGGCGGAGCTTCGCGAGGGGCGGTACAGTTGCAGGGTCGCCTAGGCAACTCCAATTGTGTGGCAGAATGCACTTCCGCTTCCGCCTCCTGGCCGAGGGTCTGCGCAGTCTCGCCGTCGTGACGCCATTTTCCTGCGACTGCGCGATCGCTGAGGTAACGGGTGGTTGCCACCGTCCGGCGGGAAACCCAGGAGCGGCTACTTCTCGTCTGCGGCCTCTGATCTAGGAGCAGAAAGACAAGCGGCAAGATGACGGACCGCTACACCATCCACAGCCAGCTGGAACACCTCCAGTCCAAGTACATCGGCACGGGCCACGCCGACACCACCAAGTGGGAGTGGCTGGTGAACCAGCACCGCGATTCGTACTGCTCCTACATGGGCCACTTCGACCTGCTCAACTACTTCGCCATTGCCGAGAACGAAAGCAAAGCGCGAGTCCGCTTCAACTTGATGGAGAAGATGCTGCAGCCTTGCGGACCGCCCGCCGACAAGCCCGAGGAGAACTGAGACCCGGCCCCCGCCCGGCCTCCGTCGACTGCGGCCCTTCCGGCCTCTTCTGTCTCCAGGGACGGCTTCCCAAGCCGTGTGTGTATGTGTGTGTGGACGTGCGTTTGCCGGGTGCCCCCCGACCCGCCTTCGTGTGCCCTTCGCACGCTGAGAACTGCTGGAGAGAGGTCCTGGATTCGGGAAGCGTAGGCCAAGCCCGCTGGACTGAGGCGGGACTTGGAGGCTGGCTTTCGGCTTGTTGATTGCCTTGTTGCTGTTTTCCCATAAAGTTGAGAAATCGCCGGTCTCTTGGTGTGAACTGCTTGTGTCTGCGTGCAGGGGCTCGGGGAGGACGCAGGGACCAAGGTCTGGTGAGAAGCAGAAAGTGGGCCAGGCCTGAAGTCATCACCCACGGTTTCATAATGTTAACCCCTCCCGATTTCTTCCACGAGTGTTATTTTCAGGCTCACAGTGCCTTCCAAGTTTTGGAGTTTGTTATAATATTATCCCACTGTGTCTCCCATTTCAGAAAGTTTTGCTATCGTTGGCTTACTGCAAATTGGATGCTCTTTCTTGGAAATCTGTGACTTCAGAAATGAGCTGGCAAAGGAGTTCTTTCACTCATTCAATGTTGAATAAATATATGTTGAGTTCTATGTGGCAGGCTTTCCTCCAGGCTTTTGGGGCTTCCCTTATGCTAGCTGGGGAGAGGGAGGCCAAACTAGACTCAGCGAGTGTTAGAAGATGCTAAGAAGTGGGGATAGCTGGTAAGGTTACAATTTTAAATACGATGTTGGGGTTATTAAGACCATGATATCCGAGGACAGACTGAAGAATTGAAGGAAATAGCCCTGCAGAAAACTGGGGGAATTGCCTTTCATATAGAGGAAGTAGCCAGGGCACGGTCTAAAGCCGGGAATGTTTGGCTAATTGGAGGAAAAGCAGAAGCAGGTATGGCTGAAGAGTGAGCAAAGGGAAGAACATAGAGACAGATACTGTAATGGAAGAGAGAACTGAGAGTAGATCCTAAAGAACCGCTAGAGAGTTCTTAAGCAGAGAAGTGACATGAGCTGACAGTTTTATTTAGTGGTGCTGGGGATCAAACCCAAGGCCATATGCATATTTAGGCAAGCACTCATCACAGAGCTACATCCCTAGCCCTTGCCTTTTTTTTTTTTTTTGGAGACAGCATCTTGCTAAAGACCAGGTTGGGCTGAAACTTAAGAGCCTCCTGCCCCAGCCTCCCCAGTGCTGGGATTACAGGTTTGCTGACCCTGACGTTTTTTAACCAGTGGTCCTTAAATATTTGACATTTGGACTCCATTATGCTTTTAAAAATTGTTGAAGACCCTAATGAATCACATCGATGTGGGTTGTATTATATATTTTAAATATGCATTTGTTAATATTTACCACAATAGAAATTAAGGCAGGAAATTTGAAAATATGCAGTAATTCATGTAAAAATAACATAATGAAAGCAGTTTTATGAAAAATAACTTCCAAAATAATTTAGAAGAATGGCTTCAAAAATTTTTTTTTGAGATGTCTTTGACAGCTGGCTTCATCTCATCTGCACTCATACCGTTGGAATAAAAAGTTTTGGTTGAAGTAGGAGAACATCTACTTTTCATAAATACATGGTTTGGGAAGACTTCTTAGCCCTTTCAAATAATTATATGTATTCTTTGACGCTTAAGCAAAAACCAGTGGTAGTTTCTGAAACTACAACATGGAATCTGAAACTAGGTCAGTGAGCTTCACGTTCTGCAAGTTTCACATTAAAATTCATTGACCTATCTTGAACTTTAGATGGATCTTTTAATCAGAAATTATTTGGAACATCAAGCCTCAGTCATTTGGAGAGTGTTAGCTCATTGAATAACATGGGTTTTTGAATGTTGAGGATTTCTTTGTACATGTGAAAAAGTCACACTCATTAACATCACCCCTATTTCATCAGGAAGGTCTTACAGTATCAAGAAACTCCCAGCGCTCTTTATTTTCCACAGGTGTAACAGGTCTATCAAGTGTGCTAAGATAGATAATAGCAAAGAAAAGAGATATTTCGAGACATGCTTCCTATCATAGTAATAATATCTAAGCATTTTATCTTATTTAATCTTTGGGAAGCATCATCTTTATTTTACAGGTGAAACAGGTTCAGAAAAATTAATTTGCAAATTCACACAGCCTGGATTTGAAACGGTCTTCCTAGTTTCACAGTACAAAATCCCAAACATCCCACTGCCCCAAGCTGGTCAAGTACATAGAAATAATACCAGAATAAGTTGGTATCAGGTAATGTCACACATTTAAAAAATGGAACTATTAAAAGCTTAGCAGAAATAAGAAATAGCAGTATAAAACAGGAAGAAATATGAGAAATCTCATATAACTAAAAAATTCTAACTTCAAATATGTTGAATAAAGATAAGCATAGGAGGAAGAGTAATCTTGTTTGGAAAAAAAATTGCATTTAAGTATCTGAGAGTAAAGTGCAGTCCAACTAAATGTGATTGTGCTGCCACTGCCATTGCCCTTCGGTGTAGGGTGAGGCTATCTGCATCAAACACAGGAGGGCAGCAGATGATCCTCATGGAAATTACTTCGGGAAACAACTTTACACGTGTGGATTCCTGCCAGCTTCAGAAATCACCTGTTTTCATATTTATTTGCACTGATGTTGCAATTAAGTCACTTGGAAAAGTATAAAGTAATAGGCATTTTTTTAAATTTGATAAATTCGTAGCAATCCTTTTACAGATATCTGTGTCATGCTTACAAGGATAGAACAAGATAAGGACTGCCCTTGAGAGGAAGCAAGTCGGCAAAATGAATGCAGTGGCACTTAAATATAGCAGGAAGTGCTAAATGCTAAAGAAAGATTTAGAAAGGCTGTAGGAGCTTTCAGGAAGAGATTATTGCAAACTACCAGGGAGGAGTGGGGAGGACATTGTTGAGAAAGGCTTCAAGCAGTACCTTGCATAATAAAATAGAAGGTATACATAGCAAGACAAGGGCAGTACACTGTGAGCCTCGGGGGTATCAGTTACCCCAGAAGGGCAGAACAATTCAAATCACTCTTCCCTACAGAAAAACCATTCCATTACTTCTAACAGCTTCTTACAGTGTACAACATCCCCCAGTCTTCCTTCACTGCTGTCATAAGGCTGGAAAACCAAGCTCCAAGTCCTGGGATGATAATAATAGAAGAGCTGCTTTTACTGAATGCTCACTATGTGCTCAAGACTTACATACCTTATGTCAATCTTCACAAGATACTTAGAGACATTTGTGATCCTATTATCCCAATAAGCAGACATAGAGGGAATATTAAATTGCCTAATATCACTCAGCAAGTAAGCGTAGAACAGGGACTTAACCAGGTCTCTTGCCAGCGTTTGGGTTCCTCATAGATCAGATTTTCTAGAACCGTGGTTTACAGAAGTCTAATACTTTGAAAAATTACTGGTAGCTTTTTTGGGGGGAGGGGGAACAAGGAGTCGCTTTTGTTCAATCGGTTTCAGGAATGCTTCAGATCATTTAATATTTTACAGCAAGAAATTTTAACCCATCATTTTCTAAACTTATCTGACCATAGACTCCTTTTCTTAAATAATTACCATGATAATACTGATAATATATTTGAGGGTTATTGATTTGGGCAGTGAAAAAAGTTTCGAATAGAAAATCATGTATTCAACTCCAGGCTTGAGAAAGATGAATTTAGTGACAGTGTATAGGCTGGAGTTCAACCTCAGATATGTCTCTTTTCCTAGGGTTGTAAATTCTCACTTGAAAGTAAGGGCTTTTGTGAATGGAAGCTCTTTGTTGTTAGCTCTCTGAGATGTTGGAGAGAAAAGAGACAGTTATATTGTACAAATTAATTATGATCTCATCTAAAGATCATGCTTTTGCCAGGACAAGGGTAAGAAAACAGAAACGCAAGCTTCCTCAGGAATCTAGATATCTGTGCTCATTGATTCTATCGGTATCTGGAAGATGGATGTTGGTGACGCGCCAGGAAGGAGCGATCTGGCAGCTAACAGTCGTCTACTTTGGAGATACGACAATTTGTTTCCTCATTTAATTGGTTTTTTCTCTCAAGGCCGACCGACGTTTCTTCCAGATCCCGCGTGTCCTGCATCTTCCTTCCGGGCACTGTACACACATGTCGTCCTCGGGGTGCCCGCCTTCTCGGTCCCTCAGAGTCACTATGTCGCTTCGCCCTGAAACAGCAAAAGCTACGGGGGGAGGGGGTCGCTGGTGGAAACCAAGCCCTGAAGGGTCCCTCTCCTCTCTAAGCCACAAATGGCCTCTGCAAATGGCCCTTTGAAGTGATCTCTCTTTGATCTAGGCAGCCTCAGAAGGCTTGCTTTCCCTGCTTCCCTCATTTCCTACCCACGCTCTCAGCTGTTATCTTGTCCCCCCCCTCCGCGCTTCTCACTGTCTGTCCTTTCAAAGGACCTTATCCCTGCTTCCTCCTGTCTTCTCCCAGAAACTTGGCCTTCCAGCAGACAGGCCTTCCTGGGAGAGCACCAGAGGCAGTCCTGGGGGCTGAAGAGACCTCCGCTTCCTGACCTCCTTCTCATGCCCAAGCCCTTCACTAACAAGCTGGTCTCCGGTTTGCCCTGGTCTTGGGTTCTTACCCACTGTGGTCTGCTCCATAATTCTGTCCTTTACGATGTGTCACGGTACTATCTCCTTCATCAATTTTGATATGAGGATCAAATGATATGTCCTCTTTTTAAAAAGTTCTGGTTTTCTATTAAAAAACAAAAAGGTACAAAGAATTAACAACTATTTCATCTTTTGTCAAATTCTTTATATTTTTTAAAAAGAACTTTGCAAATTATATGTATATATGACCATTTTTTAGAAGAAGCACTGGCATGGTGGTGATGACTGTGATCCCAGCACTCAGGAGGTGAGGCAGGAGTGTCGCCAGGTTTCAGGTCAGCCTGGGCTGCATAGTGAGACTGTCTCCAAACAAACAAAGCATTTAAAATCAAAAGGAAGCATTACAGGTAAAATGAATTCCTGCCTCCTTTGACTATTCCGAGCCCAATTTTTCCTCTCTCCTCATATCCATTCCCACCCCCCCCCCTAAAGAATCATTTCTGTGTTTTTTCAGTATGCCTAGTGTATTTTTAAAAACATATTTGTATTAAGGAACTATTATTATTTTAAAAAGAAGTATTACTGTGTTTTTAGAAATATACAAATGAAACTGCTGGATCCTCAAAAAGATGCATAACTGTAATCCAAGCACTCTGAGAGGCTGAGGCAGGAGGGTCAGAAGTT